AAGCTGGAATATTTCAGGAACGATGCAGTTTTTACAAAAAATAAAAAATAAAAAACTGTCATTGTAATTTAACCAGCCTCATTTTGCTACAACTGCCTATCCCACCCAACAAACCTGACTCAATACCATTTTACCCATCACAAGTCTCCCAAGTAAAGTAAAGCCTTCTCCTTCTAGATACATGTTGTAATCTTATTGCCTGCTCAAATGTAAACAAATCTTAAAATTCCAGGTATTTTTAGAATATTATAATACGTGAAACCAAATCAGAACTACAATGAGTTTTTTTTAACTTTTTTTTTAACCATCTCAGTTATTTATTTTTTTTTATTAAATTTTTAAATTATAACATTTATAGGTGAAAAATTCTCAATAATCATCAGCCAGTGCAAAGATGAAGCAGCAACAATTAAAAACTTTCATTTAGCTGGATTTGACAAGTTTAGTGTAAAAAAAAAAGTCTCTCTTGGTAACTTTGATGCAGTTTGACTCACTAGGTTGGCGTGCCCTCCACAGCAGAGTGGTAGTTAGCATGAAGAAGTGTTTTTGGATACGGATTTCTCTGGGAAAGGGCCAAGGTCCACCTCTGAATAGCAAACATACACTTACACAACAAAATACTGCAGGCGTACTAAATATTCTCTGGGTGTTACGCTTACGCCTAACATGACACACGAGTGTCGAGTTAAGCATCGTGACAAAGATGATGTGAAAGTTGTATTTTTAAAAAAAAATGTTTTTTTCCACGTGAGAGCTGGGTTCGAATCAACAAGCTGAAGAACTCTGCCTGTTTGGAAACCTGGTCACGACCTCTCTGGTGGTTGTGAAACCTCTTATTAATGCACATTGAGTCACAGTCAGGAATAACAAAATGCAGAAGTTAGCCTGAAGAATAACATCCAGAATCCACAGCTGATGTAGAAGAAGAAAATCTAGTAGAATGTGATATTTCTCTTTCCTTGAAATAGTTCAATTTAATAAGCTCCACAAATCTATGTCTTAATGCAACCCTCCTAAAAAAATCATTCTTAAACTCGACTTTGTCTATTTCACACGCATTAATTTGCCAGCACTCTGCTCCCTGCGCTCGGTCTTACCCTCTTCATTGAGGTTGAGGTTTTGCAGACTTTTGTTCAGGTTGCGGGCAGTGGTAGCAGTTCGGATGTTGGTGTAGGAGTTGACTGATCGTAAGCGAGGGATGGCCGGGCTGTCCCTCACTGGAGTCAGGTTACCGGGCTCTAAGCGTGAAATGCAGAAAAGCACATTAATCAGATCACAGATGATCCCAAACAGGTAAAAATGATCAGGTTTCCCAGTCTGACCCAACTCAATCAATGTGGGAACTTCATAACCTAAAATAACAACTTAAAAACTGTTTAAGTGGTTTCGCGTTTCTGACTAAGAACCTTTAAGAATTTTGACTCAAGTCCAAATCTAATTTCTCAGTAAACAGCTGTACACATGTTTGCCATGTACGCGACAACAGTTCTGCCTTAAGATAAGAAAAAAAATAGTGATTTTTTACCATTTCACCTTCTCTTCGTCCTAAATCGAGCCATAAAAAATGGAAACAATAGATACTACATAAGCTCACTCATCCCAGTCGACCCACTCTCCCAGCACACACCTGCATACAGGAGAGGTATGACTTCAGCTTTCAATCCTCTGACTGCTGCTAAATTTGATCTCTTACCACTGATACATAAATATCCTGTAAATTAAGCCCGATCTGTATCACAGGAAACATCAACCTTATTCAAATGATTATAAAAAAGTCATATTCTGGGTCAAGGGTCATTCAGATAATAACACAATGAAAATCTCAAACTAGGTTTTGGCCGACGCGTGCACAAATCCCACACGCTTAAAATCTGACACAGTGACTGATTAAAGGAACTGCTGATCACATACCCGCGGTGTTGGCCGGTGACGGCACGGAGTAGTTCTTCTCTTCCTCAATAAACTGGAGGGCAACAGTGCAGAAGTTGCTCTCATATTGGACGAC